GCTCTTCTCTTCCCCTCCTCAGGGCAGCTCTTCCTGGCCCTGTTGTATGTCTGCCAGCTCTGCTGCTGAGCTTCTTCTAGGCTTGTCACTCTCTCCGTCTTACACACCCAGGACCTGTGTTACAGCTCTTCTAGGAGGTTCCTTACTTCCCTTCTCACTTCTTCCCTCTTTTTTCCCTTCTGGTTCCTGGTGCTTTCAGACTGTAAGACCTTTGTTGGCCTGGCTGCTTAACTTGACAAACTCTTTGTAAACTTCAAGGCATGCCACTCCCATCAGAGCCTGACACTGGCCATTCCTCTCTCAGTAGAACAGAGTTATTTAATTTGCATAGTAGACTACAGCTCACCTCATCTGCGTAGTCTGTTGACCAATCTCCCAAAATGCATACCAGTCTCAAGAAAGTCTGCAGCCCGGGATCAGCTAAAAAAGTATTAAAGCCAAGTTGTTTATAGCTTAGCCAGGAGACATTTGTCACCCTGGACAAAAGTAACAGTCCCTCTGGAATAGGAAACTAGGGCAGAAGTAACTCCTGAAGGCTCAGAGGGAAAAATCTCTCAAGCTGTTTTCCCAAAGAACCAAGACAAAAGGAAATAATTTCATCACACCTGTTTTCTCTTATTTGATGAATTTATTTCGTTTAATTCATTTAAGCTAAATATGCTTATGATGTAATTCTTCTGGCTCAGATAGGCTTTTATGTTTTAAGTGATAAAGAGTAACTATTTATATGTATTGTGAAACCTCCTCATTCTTACACACACACACACAACAAAACCAGCTGCCATCAACTTGATCCTTCCTTCTTTTGACTCTATGTGTGAATGTTGAGCCATTCCCAATACAGCTTTTGAGTTTGCAGCATTTTGAAAGCAATTCTTCAGACTTCTCTCTCTCAGATCTTTATGGGAAAAGGTGTAAAGTGCCAGCCATTCAGTTAGTAGGCAAGTGTTTAATTGTTTGTGATACTCAGTGACTATCATGTTATTGTTTTTAGGTGCCATCAAGTTGACTATGACTCATGATGACTTTACAAACTACAGATCCAAACTTTGCTGTATCCTGAGCCATCCTCACGAGCTCTACTATGTCTGAGCCCATTCTTGCAGTCAGTTCATCTCATTCCAGGGTTTCCTTTTGCTGACCCTCTGCTTTCCCCAGCATATCTTTTTCCAAAGTCTTACCTTTCTTGACAACAAGTCAAAACGTTGAGATGTAGTTTCTCCATCCTTGAGCTTCAGGAGCACCCTGGTGGTACTTCCTCCAAGACAAATGTGTTTACTCTTTTAACAGCCTACAGTATATTTAGTTTTATATTCAGTCTTCTTTGCTAATATATCCAGTTTTACATTCAGTCTTCTTTGCTAAAACCATAATTTAAAGGCATCAGTTCTTCTTTGGTCTTCCTTGTTCATTGTCCAACATTCACATGTATATAAAGCAATTGAAAATACTGTGGTTCAGATCAGACATACCTTAATCTTTAAACTGACATCTTCTCTTTAACATTTTAAAGAGGACCTTGATAACAGATTTTCCTAGTGCAGTGCACCTCTTGATTTTTTTAATATTATTATTAATTTTAATGAAAATTTACAGAGATTTTGGATTTTCATTCATTCATTGTTACACTTTTCTCCCTGCCCATCCTTCCCCTCCAGTTTGTTCTTCTCTTTGAAAAGTAAAATAAAAATTCTTTCATTGTTATACAATACCTCCCCAAGCCCACTCCACTATGCAGCCTTCACTCTGAACTCATGACAAAAATACCTAATCACATATCCCTTTTAAACAGTTCTCTCTCTCATCTGTTTCAATGCAGTATACATAATTTATCCCATCTTTCTCAGTCTCCCTCCCAACGCCTATGTCAGTCCCTTTTTACAACAGTGGTACTATGCAGTATTTGTCCTTTTGTATCTGAGATATTTCACTCAGCATAATGTCCTTCAAGGTCATCCATTTTGAATATTATTTCATGAGTTCCTTGTTTTTCAATGCAGCATAGTATTCTATTGTGTGAATATACCAAAGCTTCTCTATCTGTTGGTTTGTTGATGGACGCTTAGGTTGTTTCCGACTCTTTGCTATTATGAACAAAGCCGTGATAAACATGGGTATGCATATATCTTCCTGGGTGGCAGTTATGGTTTCTTTGGGGTATATTCCCAGTAATGGAATTGCTGGATCAAATGGTATTTCTATTTGCAACTTGTTGAGAAAGCGCCATACTGCCTTCATAGTGGCTACACCATTCTACACTCCCACCAACAGTGAATAAAGGTTCCAGTTTCTTCACATCGCCAGCATTTGTTATTTACTATTCTGTTAAATTTCACTATTCTTACTGGTGTGCAATGATATCTCATAGTTGTTTATGTCTCTTGATTCCTTGACCACTGTTAACCATGAGTGTTGATTGTGGATCCAAGTAAAATAAAACACTTGACAACTTCAGTCTTTTCACCATTCATCATGATATTGCCTGTTGGTCCAGTGTTTTCTTTGTTTGTTTTCTTGATGTTAAGATATAATCTATGATGAAAGCTGTAATCTTTGTTCTTTTTTCAATAAGTGTTTCAAGTTTTCACTTTCTGCAAGCAAGGTTGTATCATCTGCATAAGGCAAACTGTTGATGAGTCTTCTTCTGATCCTGATGCCACATTCTTCTTTATCTAGTCCAGTTTCTCAAGTTGTTTGCTCAGATTGAATAAGTGTGGAGAATAGATACAACCCTGATTCACACCTTTTCTGTTTTTAAACTATACTGTGTTCCTTTGTTCTGTTCAGCTAACTGCTTCTTGGTCTATATCTAGATTTTACGTGAGCACAATTGAGTGTCCTCAAATTTCTGATCTTCTCATTGTTATCCATAATTTATTATCCACACAGTCAAATTCCTTTGAATAGCCAATAAAACTCCAGTGAACATCTTTCTAGAATTCTCTGGTTTCAGCCAAGATCCATCTGACATCAGCAATGACTACATTCTGGTAAGCCCTACTTTGGCATTTCACCAGAAATTAAGCAACAGCTCTGTTCATGACTATTGGTTTTAATATAGATAGGAGAAATACATTTCAAATTAAAAACTAGTTTAAGTTCTTGCTTTTGAGTAAGTGTACATCTATCAATTTAAGACAGACTCCAAAATTTTAAAGATTTTCTTGTCAAAGATTATGCTACTTCATAATTGTTGGTACTGTTGAGTTGAGATGACTTTTGGAGATCATATGAAGGACAGATCTGAAGCCTGACCTACCCTGTGCCATCCTTTATCATCTCTGATACACTTGATCCCATTGCTGCAGTCCCTCTCAATCCATTTTGTTAAGGGTCTTTCCCTCATTAGCAGACCTTCCGCCTTTCCAAGCATGATGTCTTTCTCCAGGGAATAGCCTTTCTTAGGAACATGCCCAAAGTATGTAAAAACTAAGAAATCACAAATGTTATCAAACAAAGTAACTGAATCCACATGTTGGAGATATTTTAAAAGCTTTGATATTTATTTCTTTCCTTGTCTTATAGATAAGCATGTAAATTCCTTAAGGGTAAGGGCTTATCTTTTCCATAATTGGAACAATTCTTAGAGCATAATAATGACTAGTACTTACTGTGTGATAAGCTCATGTTTGAGTACTTTGTTCACTTAACTTTTGAGAGGAATTTGACGTTATATCCATATATTTACCTGACATATTCTTTGGCACATCTCAAGAGTACCTCAAATCACTAAATCCAGAACTGTCTTTTGTTTTATTCCAATTCTGAATATTATAGCTGATCTTTTTTTAATATCTATCTGGTTAGGCAAACTGGAAACTTCAGAATCATCTTTTCCTTCGTTAGTTACATCTCATCTCTCACTGGATCACCCAAGTCCTGTCTACTTTCTCTAGAAGGCACCACTTTTTTCCACTGTAGTCAGACTGCTATCACTTCACCCCTGAACTACTGTACCTCATGTCTGTTTTGCTTTTGCTCTAGCCAGTCTCTGAATGGCAACTGTAGACTTTTCAAAATGAACTTTATCTTCATACCATCCTTTAATAGCATCATTAGATATTTTTCTAGATAAATCCAGAATTCTTATCCATTCTTACCCTTCCTGATGAGGTTTGATCTCCATTAGGTAGCTTCACATAGTGGGCCCACTATAGAGATTAGATTTAAAAATGAGAAAATGTTTTTTTCTTAAAAGTGTTGGACCCCTAAACGTTCTTAGTGATAATTATATTTATTTCAAGTAGTTGTTGTTACCCTAGTTCCTGAGGAGAATTATGTGCAAATTGAAATGCAGCCGTTAAACTTCTGAGTCATGTGATAATACAGTTTTCCTCCATTCATGTAATCCATTCACACTTGATTGACCCTTTCTGATAACTGGAATGAAATACAGTATACCATTCACTCCTGGATTTCATTTGTATCTCCTCTGAAAATGTAGGTGATTTTTTTCAAGTTTGACAGGATGACTTTTGTAGAAAATTTGCCCTTTTAGATTAGAAAGACAAGCCCCGTCTTCCTGCTTTCCAAAAGCTAGTGTAACAGAACAAGCATACTCAAGACATCTTGGACTAAATGCTGCTGTAAACCACAATGGAAAAACTGCAGCAAAGTATTCCCAGTAGAAATCTTGGAATTCCTTCAAGTATATTGAGATTTTGTTAGAAATTGAATTGCCAGTGTAATCCATCTTCCTTGTGAGAAAACATTCAGATAAAGAGCTGGGGCCTAGCAGCATTAACCATTAGAACATCCCTTAAATCAATAAGCTACAAATCTGGCCGTGCATTCCTGCAGCGCCTGGTGGTTGGTACATGAACATGGTTGCAGGCTGCAGCAGCATGACTGATAGCATGCCCTAAACAAGGGCAAACTGCACAATACTGCAGATTTTTACGTTATAATAGGCTTTAGCTTGTTAAAAGTCTACAAAGTGCAATTATATATTATCGATGCACATAAAAAACAACACATACCTGTTTTTCTTTGTTTTTCAGATTTTCCAAATGTGGTTATTGAAGGAGTTCTCCATGGGATCTTTTACCCTCATCTGCAGCCCAGGTAGAAATCCTCTGTGGCTAAAAGAAGCGGAAGCAAGTTTCAAAGACCTCGTCAAGGAAATTGATATCTACCAAATTAACCTAAAGTCTGTGACATAACAGTTCTAGATAATGGTATAACTCACAGTCAAAGCTTAATTCAGGGCAGGAACATTTCCAGTAGAATGGTGCTTTTAAAAATAGAAGCTGAACCAGAGTGGTGGTCAGGTTAAGGCCAGTGTTTAAGAAGTAGAATGTAGCTGCCAATTAGAAACCACAGAAAACAGGCTGCAGACCATCCCTGAAGCACCGAGTATAAGTTACTCTCTGCTCCAGGAGCACCATTTGCTAATTGTAATTCCATCCTGACACGCGCTAAGACTGATCAACATTTATGTTCATGTTTTATGGCACACTACTTTTTCACCATGAGACTTTCTCACCTAATGATGAGGTACATTCTGGAGTGCCGGCACCACACAAATGTCACAGAAACACACTGTGCTGAATGTGAGGAAGGAACTAACCTGGGAATTAAACTGTACTGACCGTATTATGGCATTTGAAAAACCATGATGTTCTTGTTCATTTATGTTACAGTGGAGTTGTATCATATCAAAGATAGAGGTAGCTTCAGTCCATAAGATAAAATGGAATTGTATCAAGATTGCCCTGGAAAGCCCTTTAGGTAGGTTCTATATTGGAAATCTGAATACCCGCAACAACCAGTTTGGTTCGTTCTCTCTCTCTCTCTCTCTGTCATTGCTAGAAATTATTATTTCTTCAGTTGGAATCCAAATGATGTTGTTGGTGCTTGTTCAGGGGTCATTTTGTATAAGAATGACATATATTTAAACACTAGACTCCCACACAGCCTGCAAAATGCTTGCCCTCTGTCTTGAGGCAGGTGTGGGCTGATGAGGGAGTCTCAGGTTGACCATGCTCACCTTGGTTTACTTGAGCACACACATTCAATGAGTAAGTGCTATTGGCAGAGCATTAAACATTGCCTTTCTTATCATCTCCTTTTCACTTACCTCATTTATTGAATTAATGTAAGTTAAAGATTTTATGATTTAACTCTGCTATACATTCATATTTATCTTATATGTTTCTTGAAAAGCGTGAAAGCATATGTTACCTGTATATCTGTGCTGTATTTGAGCATTTCATTGAAGACTAATTAATGACTAGCCTATTTATGGTTATTTCTTCTACTATACTTCTATGTGGGAGAAATGTATTTCAATTCAAAACTAATAACTAAATCAATGCCTTTTGTTTAGGATTTAATTATGTAGGTTTAAACCCTAGTGACTAGGATCTAAACAAAGAGGTTTAAAGTCTGCTGCAAACTTGGAAAGATATGTTTTATGGTAGATTCTGATATTACTACTTCTTGGAAACAGAATTAGTAATCAAGTGTCAACAACCAAAAATAACTATGTAGTCAAGTATTATTGAAAATATTTTAAAGACATTTTTGTTATTAGATATTTTGAGTTAAATGAAGACAAAGAATAAAACATATTTGAATTAGCTTTTGTTCTTGAAATTCTGTTTCATGTGCAAATTGTCTGTCTTTTTCAAATTTTGGTACCATTTATACATCTCCTTTTACACACAGCTAAGTGCCAGCTGCCATCACAGTCGTTGTCTCTTCATACCCATTGCCTTATTCACCAAACCACAGTCGAAGATAGCCAGAAGATAGTCTTGACCCATTTTTAAGCTTCCACACCACATCTCTGAACTGTGCTCATGGTATTTTTCTGAATTGTGATCATGAAATTTCTATACGTTTTAAAGTTCTAAGTAAACATATAATCAGAATGAATATAAAATTTGTTACTGGGGTTGTGGTATATACATCATTGACTGTTTTAGATAAAGAAGGAGTCAGTGCTGTGTGAAGACTCAGGAGAGGACATCAGGGCAATAATGGCCAAGCACATCTTAGTCATTACACTAATAATCTCTTTTACAAGGATTGGTACAAAACAGATTCTAATAACTCAGGGGTTAAGAATGTCCCAGATGTCCAATCTTCCTATATGACTGTATCACTCCATCATTTCTAACATCAGTTATCCCTCGTCTCCTCAGCCTCCTCATTCCTGTTTGTGTTTTTGGGTTCTGTAATTCACTGAAAAGTCTCACAGAAACTAAATACTATCAGGGAAATGGGTTGTGTGATTGCAGATGGTTTAGGCTGATGCCTGCTGTTGCAGAGGTTGGGGAACAACAGGCCAAGCATCTGCAGCCTGAGGCTGTCAGCAGTTGACTGTCAGAGCATTGCGATCCAATTAGAAGTGAAAAGTTACCCACAGCAAAAAGTAACAGCCTTCCCTGGAATAGTTCTGGATATAGGATCTCAGGGCTAGAAGCCACACTCCTAAAGGAATGAAGGATAGAAATTTGGGTCATACTTTCTTTTAAGCTGAGGCTCCGAGATGCATCCTTCCCTAATCCTACTTCCTCGACTCAGTAAATAACTTATTTCCAAATGAAACCTTGAGTATAAAGAAAGAGGCTAGAATCACACACACAAAACAAAAATGGAAGGCTATGGCTAGAAGAGCTATATTACTTAATTCATTGTACCATAGTCATCAAAGTGACACCTTTGATTTTTAACGTTTTTAAAAAGTGTGATGCAGATTTTCCCAGTTCAGTATGTTATTTGGTTTCTTAACATGAGCATTGTTGACTCAGGAAGAATAAAATCTTTAACAACTTCAATTTCTTTGCCATTTATCATGATACTACATTTTGGTTGAGTTGTAAGCATTTTTGTTGAACATACAGGGCACCATTTTTATTTCCTTGGCAACTTTAAGATTCTAGGACAAGTACTTCTGATCTAGAGTGTGTATCAGAGTCACCTAAGACCCCGAATCAACATCTTTGGGCTGCACTAATCTTAGGTAGTAGATAAATTGTCCAGCTGATTCTGATGTACACTTAATGTTAGGAATCACTGTCTGAGAGGGTTGGCTTATGCACCACCCTTTTGCTTCCACTTTAATGATATTTTTGTTGACTTCTTACTTTCCCTTTAGAATCTTCTGCCAATTAACCATTAATTCAATGCTTAGGGTATTTTATGTGGTCACAGAAAGAGACTCTTAGAAAAATCACCAAGGATATCTGACTAGATATCAATCAATACACAGTGGGAAAGACATATATATATTCATTTATCCAGTCATTAATGAAATGTCTTTGAGTCCCCTTTCTGCATATAGGTTGAAAAGGTATGGAGATAGGACACATCC